ATCTACCTATCTATAATCTATCTATCTATCTATCTATCTATCTATCTATCTATCTATCATCAGCCTATGTGTCTATCATCTAGCTATCCATCATATCTATCATCTCCCTATTTGTCACCTACCTTTATCTGTGTATTTATCCTCTCTCTGTGTATCTATCATCTATGTGCATATCTATCTTCTGTCTACGCACATCTATGCATCCATCTGTCATTTGCGACAAGTCAATCCGCAGTGACATGGAACAGTTAGATACAGACTGGCTGCTGTCTTACCAGGCAGTGATGCTCTGACCTTGGAGTGACTTTTCCAGCGAGCCAAGTTCACTTGTGGCTTAGCAGCTTCTTCATTAGCACGCAGCCCTCGAGAGCCTGTCCCCAGAAGTCACAATGAATCTGGGCCAACCCTCACTCCTGCTTGCTAGAGGGGGCTTGGGGACAGGTGAGCAAGCTGCAGTTGCGGTGCGCTCTGCTGTGTGCCGGCTGGTCCTGGAGGGTCTATGAGCTAACAGTGATTTCACACATAAATGATGGGAAAAGGTCTTGTGGAAGCATGTTTTCTTTCTTGTTCTAGAAGCTCCCCCATAGCAGCCCCAATTTTGCCTCTTAACTTGAAAAGCCTTTGACATTTCTATCATCTTTTTCCCGTCTGACCCAGGGCAATGCCCCTCAGGGCTCCTTGGTCCCTCAGGAGTTGCTGAGGACTTTGATCCTCAGCTAGGTGCTGAGCTCATTTCCACAAGTTGTAGGCATATTTACCAATTGAAACTGAAACACTGAGAAGTCATCTATTGAGCCATTGAACATTGAAACTTAAAATTCTATTTATTTATTATACAGTTATTTTAGACAGGGTCTCTCTGCAGAGTTCTGAATGTCCTGCAACTTGCTATGTAGACCGGGCTGCCCTTGAACTTATAGAGCTACACCTGCTTTTGCCTTCTGGGTGCTAGGGTTAAAGGTATTTGCTACTGCACAGGCTTAAATTTTATTTTTAAGAAAAGGATTCCCTATGTAGCACAGACAGACCCCAAAATCTCAGTCCTCCTGCCCTAGTCTTCTGGGTGCCGGGATTTCAGGTATGGGCCACCACACTGGACTTTACTTTTAAAATAACAACGAGCCCATTTATATCAACAAAATGCTTTTATAAGAAGTGGAAGTTTTCCCTAAAACCAATTTGCTTTGAAGAACAGTCTTGGAAGATCTGTCCATTGGTGTCAGTAATGGCTGCTCTGTGGATGTTTGTATTTGGTCTGCTGTGACATCACAGGTCATAGGGCTAAGGTGCTCTCCTGCTATGCTCTCCAGGAGACAGAAGAAACAGGGGTATTAGTGTTACTATGAAAAAAGTCTGACCTTGGCCCCTCAGGACCCAGGGGCGCCACATTGAGAGCTCTGTGTGTGGTCAGGAAAGCTCTTGGCATAACCCTCTTTCTGCTTATTTCCACCTGTGTGGCTTTATCTCTCACCCCAGGAGATGGCTTTTGTAGCTTCACGCAGCTGAGTGGGGTGGCACATGTGCTGATCCCAGAACTCATGAGAATGAGGCGGGGTCACGGACTTTGAGGTTAGCCTGAGCTACAATAGTGAGACCCTGTCAAAATGAAAATAACACCCCAAATAAGCCACCACCCTCCTCTTATCTTCTTTGTGGGGCTCCTTTGAAAGGTCACGGTCAGCAAGGTGTTAATGTCAGCTTGGTCACCCTGGGTGGCCCAGGAGAGACAGTTCTGGGCCTTGGCAGTAACTGCTAGCCATGGCCAGCATCCGGAGCCAGTCCTGTGACATCATCCTCCATGTCAGCATGCAGGCCATGGTCTATGCCATGTCTGCTCTGATGCATTTCTGGTGGTGGAGCTGTGCTTGTTGCTTACGTGGGTACCCAGCAGATCCTCTGTCCTCCAGAGCACAGAGGGCAAAGGGTGGATGAGAACTCGAACCCTCTCTTTTTTTTCAGTGCTGGGACTGAACCCAGTGACCATGCATGCCAGTCACGTGGTCAGAAACCACGCCCAGCCTACTGGAACCTTTCTAGTAGACTGAGTCCTCCATGCCAGGCCCCTGCTTGCACTGTGGCTACCTGGGTGACTGATTCTCTCCGACACACATTTAGGGAGGAGCTCTCATCCCCAAAGGGAGACACACACACACACACACACACACACACACACACACACACACACAGTATCACAAACTAGGCGCCAGCGCCAGACCCAACAGGCTATGAGGAAAAGAACAGTTTTGTGCAGGGGATGGAGGTGGACTGAGCTGGAAGGCAGAGGATGGAGCCAGATAACAGAATCCAGGGAAGAAGGAGGGAGCAGCTCTTGACCCAGCATCCAAAGTCTTCCTAGAGGCCTGGTGTCAGACGTGAGCCCTGGGGAGCTGGGAGTTGGGTCTAGAAGGGACGAACACTTTGGCCAGAGGAGACATGGCTTCTCAGGTCATGAGCAAACACCTACGAGAAGCCAGATAGTGGAGAGGTCTCTCCCTGCTCCAAGCAAATGCCTGGGCAGCCCCTGTGCCAGGAGGTCTGTGCCCCACTGGTGTCTGGGTGGCCAGGGCAGGAGAGGGGGCTGAGTGACAGGTTGTAGCCTCAGACCCTTCCTGGCCTTTGACATGCCATGGAATATGACTGTTTCTGTATGCCAGAACTCAAGAGTCACACCGCTGAGGCATGTCAATTCCAGGGTGATTTTTAGGGACACCCAACTGCCTCCTGCCACCTCAGGTTCACTTCCCAATTCCCCAAACCTGCTGCTGGCAGATCGCCTGGCCTCCTTGCTTCATGAAGCTTAGGGCCAGGCTTCCTGGGTGCTCTGGAGACACAGCTTTGCTGGCTCTGGCGTAGCACCCGAGCTTGTGGATGAAATGAGATTTAAGTAAATTACATTTTCTAAGCGCATTTAATTTATTATACTTAATAAGGAAATGGAACATATTCAATTAGGTTAAATTTAACGGGGGAGGATATCCTGGGGTGTGGGGTCTGTGGGTTGAGATGCAAGGGGAGGTGCGAAGTGACGGTGGCTATGAGGTTGGCTGGGGCTGAGCCTCCAGTGGGGCCAGCTGCGGGGCGACAAGCCACAGAGCTTTCTCCTGTCCCTTTCTCCCCTCACGGCCACAAGATCAGTCACTGTTTTCAGTCACTGCTTACGGCCCTGGCTCCGTGCTGAGTACCCCGGTGTGTGTTGCCCTCAGCCTGTGGCAGCCCTGTGAATGTGGACCACCGGCCTCTCATTGTCCCTCCAGGGGGAATCCATGCCAGACTGTAGAGCCTAACCCTGCTTAACTTTCTATGGCTCCCTAAGGCCACAGGACAGAATAGTGCCGGTCCTGATGTGATTCTGGCTGGCCTCTGTGTCTACCTTGTTCTCTTGCAACACCTGATCCATAATAAGATTCTGCAAAGCTCCCTTCAGGCCTCTCCGCTTGTGTTATGACTCTCCTTGCCATCCATGCACCATGGGCCTGGTCCAAGGTCTGCATCTTCTGTGCTTTTTGTATCTAGCATTCATTCTGCTACACAGGGTTCAGGGAGCTCGTTGAATAAATGAGTGAATGTATGAGTCGGGGGCTGGACAGGGAAGCTACAGGGGAAAGGAAGGTGAGCGCCCAAGCCTGACCCAGCCCCTCCCCTCCCTGCCCTCTACCATGGCTGGAGAAGTCTCCGGGGCCATTCCCAGTCTCTCTTCCTGGCTAAGGGCTCTGTCCCTCTCCACCTCAGGCTGTTACCGCTACAGCTACGTGAAGCCAGGCCAGGTCCTCCGGTTGAGGGGGCCTGACCAGCAGGCCTCTAGCTGCCTGTGGCACCTGCAGGGGCCTGAGGACCTCATGCTCAAAGTGCGGCTCGAGTGGACCCAGGTGGATTGCAGAGACCGGGTGGCCATGTATGATGCAGCCGGGCCCTTGGAGAAGAGACTCATCACTTCGTAAGTCCATGAAAGGCTGAGGGAGACCCGGGGTCAAAGGTCACACTCTGTATGCTGGGATCAGGTGCTGGAGCCTCAGGCCCATACGGCTGCTGTGGGGGGCAGTGGAAGAGGAGGCTAGAAGGGTGTGTGCCAAGCAGTGGTCCCTTCTCAGAGTTTGTTTCCCTATCCGAATGTAACTAAGTAGTTGTAGTAGGTGATCCAGAAGGTCCACTCTGGGAAGACACATGACTTATGAGAACATTCTAGAATCTGGCAGCAGCCTGGTATTTCAGTCACCACTCTGCTGCACTCTAGCCATGTGCCTTAAGACAGGGATTTTGCCCTTTTGAACTTCAGTTTTTCCGATCTGTAAAATGGGTGTATACCATTGCTCACCATTTGGCATGAGTGTGAGACCCCACATCTCACCGTTTGTGCCAGGTAGAGAATATCCAAGAAATGTGAGCATTGTGACCCTCTCCTCCAGGGTGGGCAGAGGACTCTTCAGGAAGTGGGCAGGCAGTGCTGAGTTGTGCCGTTGTTTGCTGAGGACTTACTTTATGCCGGGGGGACAAGGTGGTGTCATTCCTGTGTCTCTTGGTCTATCAGGGTCTATGGGTGCAGCCGCCAGGAACCGGTGATGGAGGTGCTGGCATCAGGCTCCATCATGGCAGTGGTGTGGAAGAAAGGCCTGCACAGCTACTATGACCCCTTCATGCTCTCGGTGAAGTCTGTGGCCTTCCAGGGTGAGGCTTGTGAAGGACAGAGCGGGGTATGGACATGGGCCCTAGTCTCTGCTGCCATGCCTTGTACCTTTCCTGTTGGCAATGGGATGGGTGCGGAGGTCTTCACTCTCCTCTCCTCTTCTTTCCTACCTTGCTCCCCCTCCCCCTTTCTCCTTTACACTCCTCCCAAGGCCAACTTTATTTTTAGCAAGTTTGAGAACACAGGGACTGGGCCCTGGCAGACCCAGCAAAGGTGTCCTGGCAGGGCACCCCCAGGAGTTCTCCTTGGCTCTTCCGTAGCCTCATCCGTCCTCTTTTGGACACTCTTCTCCTGTCCCACACCACCCTGTCCCCTGGCTGTCCTCTGGGTTAGCAGAGCTAAACTTGAGGAGCCTATCTAAGCTAGGACTGGGCCTCTTTAGGGTCCCTTGCTGTTTTTAGCTGCGGTTATTTCCCTGCTGTGTCTGACTGTTTCTTCTCATGCTCCTGGACCCTGCAGGGTCTAACAGCTGATGTTTTCTTTGGGTTCCCAGATACTACAGTCTATTGGAAAACCAAGGAAGTGTTTGGGACTATTAGCCCCAGGGAGAAGTGACCAGAGAACCCAAGGTTCTAACTCCTGAGTCCCTATTTATGTGACTCAGCCAGCCCTTCCTCCTCTTGTCTAAATTTCAAATGTGTGTGTATGTGTATGTATACGTATGTGTGTGTATGTGTGTTTGTGGTCTGTTTGTATGTGTGTGTATGTGTGTTTGTGGTCTGTATTTGTGTGTGTGTGTGTGTGTGTATGTGTATGGGTGTGTGGTCTGTGTGCATGCATGTGTGTGGTCTGTGTGCATGCATGTGTGTGGTCTGTGTGGTGTGCGTGTGGTCTGTGTGTATATATGTGTGGTGTGCATGAGTCTGTGTGATATTTGTGTGTGGTCTGCGTGTATATATGTATGGTGTGTGTGTGACTGTGT